CCATCTGACCAGGAGAATGACCATGATGCCTTCTGCATGCTGTGTCCCAGGGGGCTATCCAGGGGCAATGCGACCCCATGTTCTGGTCAAGGTGGCTGGGCTGGAGCAGGTGAGTGGAGGGGTGAAAAGGAGTGCTTCATTCAAAGACATCCCTGGTAGCTCATGGAGAAAGACATCAAGCAAGGGTCTGGACAAGGGTGTGGGAAAGAGTGAACCCATTTAAGGGCAATACTACACAAGACACAGATGAAAAACGAACTGGAGAGCTCACAGGCAGTGGGGTCTCTGAGTGTGCTTGGTGTCGGGATGTGCACACACAAAAACCCACTGACACGGAAACAAGAGCAATTTCAACTTGAGGAATGGAAATAAACTTAACAGGAGAGAAGAATCTGAGCAAAAACGGCCTTCCAGGTCATTCTGGACACATCTGAGGCTCGACTTTTCATCTTAAAAACAGTTTTATTGTGTTTATGTCCACAAAGCATCTGAGAAGATGCTTTTATGTCTCAAGCCAAGTGTTAATCTCATTTTATTTTATTTTATTTTATTTACAGGGTCTCACACTGTAGCCCTGGCTGGCCTGGAACCTGCAGAGATCCAACTGCCTCTGCCTTCCCACTACTGGAATTAAAGGTTTGTGCCAACATCCCAGGGCCAGGTGCTACATTTTTTTTTCTTTAATGCTCAGTACAGGGAAGGCAAAGCCCAGAGGGACGGCATGTCATCTGTGTGCTGTGTGCCTGTGGACAAATTCTGTACCCTCTCCAAAGTTCTTTTCCTCCCTTCTCGGTCTAGAACCACTAATCTCCGCCCTCTAGCGCCAGTGGACAAAGCACAGGCAACAGCAAGCAGGGCACATTTAAAGTGCCAGCACAAGGAGGCACCATGTAGATAGCTACGAATCAGTTTATAGTTTCTCTGATCTATACTCTTTAACTTTGAGCATCAAAAGGCAGATCAAAAGAATTGCAAGGGCTGGAGAGATGGTTCAGTGGTTAAGATCACTGACTGCTCTTCCTGAGGTCCTGAGTTCAATTCCCAGCAACCACATGGTGGCTCACAACCATCTGCAATGGGATCTGATGCCCTTTTCAGGTATGTCTGAGACAGTGGCAGTGTACTCACATATATAAAATAAATAAATCCTTAAAAAAAGAATTGCAAGCCGGGCGGTGGTGGCGCACGCCTTTAATCCCAGCACTTGGGAGGCAGAGGCAGGCAGATTTCTGAGTTCGAGGCCAGCCTGGTCTACAGAGTGAGTTCCAGGACAGCCCGGGCTATACAGAGAAACCCTGTCTCGAAAAACCTAAAAAAAAAAAAAAAAAAAGAATTGCAAGAGTGAAAATGGGCCCAGCAGGTGCCTAGTCAGCCACCCACGTCCTCGGCCTCTTCCTCCCTCCCTCCATCTCTTGTATTTAAGAAATTTCTCCTCAGCTTAATACTGTCCCCACCCTTCAACCAACTGCTACACAATGTCCAGCAGGCTAGGGGAGGTGGGGGAGGCAGGACCGCAACAGTTGGAAGTTTCCATTTGCCTTCAGACAGGAGTAAAGGTTATACTATTTCTGGGCTGCTGGCTAAAGCACAGGAAGGACAGACGTCCCTGGGGGGCTGAGAATTTCTGCAGTGTCCTGGAGGTACCACTCAGTCTTTAATTGCTGGAACAAGGCTAGACTGACTGAGCTTGTGACCTACAGGTCGCGCCCCTGCGTGTGGAACACACTTCAGCATACATCCACACCCATAAACATGGCAGAGCTGTGCATGGGGCTGGAAGGACATGAACTTGAAAGCCAGTCACTAACGGCTTCTGAATGGAGCGTCAGTAGAACTGCTGAGCCCAGGTCCGTAGCAGCCACAGCCCAGCACCCCATAATCAAAGCTCAAGAACAGGGCCGCCACCCAGCTGAGCTGCAGCTCCTGACCACAGCCTCCAGATTTAACTTCCCTTTGGTTTCCTTAACTGTTGTCTCACCAGACTCACTCTCCTCAAAGACCTCACAAAGGAAACAAGTATGGTCGGTTCGGCTCTCAGAAGAATCTCACAAGAACCAAGAAACATGTTGAAACAAAGGCTGTCCCTTACACACCATCATCCCTGTGGTCCTGGCCAGAGCAGCAGGACTGCATCTGCTGGAGGGAGGATGGCTCAAAGGTGTGCGTTTCCCCCAACACCCGTCCTGCCCACTGCCTGCACTTGGCTTTATACCCGGCTCTGCACAGCGGCTAGCTGGAAAGGCAGGATGTGTGTGTGAGGCAATCGGAAGCTCAGAGGAAAAGCCAAGCATGGTGTCTTATGCCTAAAACCACAGCACGTGGGAACATGAGGAGCTGCCATGAGTTCCACACCAGCCTAGACGACAAAGGGAGTCCCTGTCTCAAAAATATAAAGATTGAAGGCTAGGAGAGATTATGAGTCCCATCTCTTAGGGGAATCTGGACAACAACCCCAGATAACCGTGGCTCTTCTTGCTCTAAAGTTGTGTTCCTGGCGCTCTCCTGTTTGTAGTCACCCATGTGAGGTCATTGGTGACTCTTTGGAGCCTCTATTGGGCTACCATCCTTACTTCCCTTCTCAACATCCCTGCACCGGTCTAAGGATATAGTGGCACAAAGTGACCAATCTGTAATTTGCTGTTTAGCAAACACACATATTAAAATACTAATACGGGGGGCTGAAGAGACCACTCAGCAGTTGAGAGGTCTGTCTGCTCTTCAAGAGGACCCAGATCCAATTCCCAGGACCCAGATGGTGACTCGTGACCACAACTCTAGTCTGAGCAGAACTGATACCCTCTTCTGGCCCCTGTAGGCAGCAGACATATATGTAAACACTCATACAGATAAAAATAAATCGTTTTGTTTTGTTTTGTTTTGTTTTGTTTTTGTTTTTCGAGATGAGGTTTCTCTTTATAGCCCTGGCTGTCCTGGAATTCACTCTGTAGACCCGGCTGGCCTCGAACTCAGAAATAGACCTGCCTCTGCCTCCCAAGTGCTGGGATTAAAGGCATGTGCCACCACTGCCTGGCTAAAAAATAAATCTTTAAAAAATATAGTAATGCAGGCACTGGAGAGATGGCTCAGCGGATAAGAGCTCTTGCTGCCTTTGTACCTGGGTTCAGTTCCCAGCACCCAGATGGGGATTCATGTTGGTAACTAGTTCTAGACATGGCGAGTCAGCAGATTTGCCGACCATCTAGAGAACCTAGGTTCATTTCCCAGCACCCACACGGTAGCTACAGGGATCTGATTCCTTCTTCTGGCATCCTTGGGCAGTAGGTACCAGGTATACACATGGTACGTTTACATATATGTAGGCAAACATTCATACACACCAAACTAATGCAGCTGGGGATGATGACACATGCCTTGAATCCCAGCCCTTGGGAGATTGAGTTGGTAGGTCTCTGAGTTTGAGGCCCGATGGCGCTAAATAGTGAGATCCTAAACTAACAAACTAATGTGGGCCAGCAGGATGGTTCCATGCAGGAAGGCATCTGACGCCCTGAGTTCCCAGCCCCAGAGCCTACGGTGACCCTCACGAGCACCTACTGCACAGGTGCACTGTGCTGCCCCCACACCTAGATGTACGTACAATCAGTGTAAGTAAGATCAACGTCATGAACGTCAAAGGAACTCACTGTGATCTCAGTGGTGATGGGATGAGCCAGCCAAGGGCTCTAATGCTACCAGCACACACGCAGCCCAGTTACAGTCTATGGGGACATCTTAAGTAGAATATCATGCAGCGGTGAAGGGGAGTGGACGGGGTTCTCCGTGACTAACGCGTATGAAGAAATCTCAAAGACGGCCGTGAGGGAAACAGCAGGTCATAGAATAATGTGAAAAAGTAAATACAAATATCATACCACTGGTGGAGGTAAAGTAAGACGAATGGTTGGAGATGGACCTTCCACAGTGGAGTGGCAGACGGTCCATGGGGGACATCCAGCTTCTAGGGATCACACTGTGAATTCTTTGTACCATTTGGGGTTTTTTGTTTGTTTGTTTGGAGGTTGTTTGTTTATTTAGGTTTGAGACAGGGTTTCTCTGTGTAGCCCTGGCTGTCCTGGAACTGGCTCAGTAGACCAGGCTGGCCTCAGACTCAGAGATCTGCCTGCCTCTGCCTCCCTTAAAGGCAAGCGCCACCACCACCATCACCTTTTATAACGTGTCTTACACTTCTGTATCCCATTTCCGTCTGGTAGTTCAGATTTCAGCCTACTGTGTGACCAGCAGCAAGTAATTTAACCTCTCAGAGCTTCCGTGTCCTTGTCTATAAAATTCATACAAAACAGTATCTCTCTGTTGAGACATGAGATCTGACGCCTGTGTTCCAAAACACTGCTGAATAAAAACCACTAAATCTTTGTATTATTTCTAAAATCAAATCCACCAGTATACAGTAAACATGCCTTTTGAAAGTCATTGACTACTGGAAGGGAAAGAATCTCCCTATTCCCCACCGTCTCCCTTTGGGCCCTTCGGGAGACAGTCTCTATGTACCCCTGGACACCCTGGAACCTGCTCTGTAGACCAGGCTGGCCTCAAACTCACAGAGATCTGCCTTTCCTTGCCTCCTTTAGGATTAAAGGCATGCATGCACCACACCCAGCCTGGCCCTCTTTTGATTCCTCAAACAAGGGAACAAAGGCATTGTCCACACAGACACAAACAGCTCTCCCAAACCGGCCTATTTTCCCAGTATCTCCTCCAGCTCTGTAAATCTTAGCACAGGGCTCACTTCCCACTTCAGCCAGGGTGTGGCTGAGACATTCCTGTCACCTAAGAACTCTTCCCTGGGATAAGTTGTAAGGCAGCCTATTGCATTCATTCGGGATCTCAGCTGTGGGCTGCAAAGGGCTAGCCAACCAGCCATCCGGCGCCTGGCAGGTCCTCAGCTCTTCTCTCTGCCAGACCCAACTGCTGGAGCTCAGAGGACCAAAACACACGGGCGACTCTCCCCCTCACCCCTGCATCTGATAGCCCGGGCTTACCTGCACTGTCAGGTAGAGTCTATGGGGACTCCTAGGGCCAGGCCAATCCACGCTGAGGGCTCGACACTGTGCAAGAGACGGGCGAGCTGCAGACCGGGAAGTGGAGTCTTCCTCACCAATGGGTAGGGTCTCTTTTCCACGTCCTGTCTCAGGAAAGACAGACAGATAAGATGACATATTTGGCTGCTGGACCACTGGCCAAAGCAGGCTGAGCTCAGCTTTTGCACCCTCCAATCTGCCCACGTGTGGCCAGCAGGGCCTCCTGTGGCCTCAATAGGCTATCTCCATACAGAAGCACAGGTAGGGACAGGGTGGGGCTGCCTGATTCCCTTACCAAAAGAGACCCTGAGATTCTTTCCTAGAGGGTACCCAAGATCCGGCCAGGGACTCCCCAGTTGCCACAGTGGCTTTGGGGGGTCTACGTTTATTCATCAGCTCCTCTGCAGAGAGCTGTAAGAGGAAGCCAAGACAGTGAACTGTGTATATCACAAGGACACTGCTTAATTACCCCGGCTGCCTCTAGGTGGCAATTTCCCCCTTGCCTTAATTAAGACCAACCCCACACTGGGTAGCCTGGTCCCTGGCTATTTCTAGAAGTGTACCCAGAACTGCTAGAAGTGTATCCTCTGGGGAAGGACACCCTCCCCCCAACCCAGCCAGGGTGGGAAACAATACTAGTCTTACTGTCAAGACACAGCCACAGGCTGGGGAGCTGGCTCAGCCAGAGCACACACTGCTCCTGCAAAGGACTGGAGTTTTGCTCCCAGCACCCACACTGGGTGATTCACAACTGCCTGTAAACCCAGCTCTAAGGAATCTGAAGAGCTCTAACTCAGTAGATACCTGTACTCATGTGCATTTAACCACACAGATAAATATACACAGAAATTAAAACTAAGCCGGGCGGTGGTGGCGCACGCCTTTAATCCCAGCACTTGGGAGGCAGAGGCAGGCGGATTTCTGTGTTCGAGGCCAGCCTGGTCTACAGAGTAAGTTCCAGGACAGCCAGGGCTACACAGAGAAACCCTGTCTCGAAACCTTCCCCACCCCCGCCCCCCACCAAAAAAAAAAGAAAAGAAATCAAATACATTGATTTTTTTGAAGAATCAATTAAACGGAAGCTTTTTCAGCAGGCACATGCTTTTAATCCTAGCACTCAGAAGCCTGAGGCAGGCAGATTTCTGGAAGTTCAGAGATAGCCTGGTCTACATAGCAAGTTCCAGGCAATCAAAGTAAGCCCTGTGGTTTTTGTTTTTTGTTTGTTTGTTTTTAGCACAGCCTTGACCCTGAGATAAACTAACATCCTGAGGGCATAACCCCATAGTAAGGTTCAAAGAGCACAAGGAGCAGGAAGTCCCTACACTGACAAAACCCTGAAGGACCCACAGATATTAGCCATTAGGATAGTGAGTGATTGCTACCATAACCACCCAGGCAGGTGGAGGGCATTCCTTTGTTGCAAAGGCAGAAAACCAGAGACCTTGAATGGCTAACAGGTCTAGTACTACACAGGGCTTGTATTCAAACCAATGTACCAACTAACCCTGGTTGACTATCCCGTTCACGATGACAGTGACACCAGCAGGGAAGCTTTGGAGGGAACTGGGGTATCCTTTTTGACTGAGGCTCTCTCTTGGGTGCCAAGCCTGTGCCTGCCTGTCACACACAGGTTTCACTTGATCTTCATCTTAAATTTATAAAGTGGTCATAAGTCTCTAAAGTCACTGTACTCATTTCATAAGTATACACACACACACACACAAGTAATATTATACAGACTGAACAGCTTGCATTTATGTATTTAGGAATATACATCACACACACACAAACACACACATACACACATATGCACGCACACAAAATAATTTTCTAAGGTTAAAAAAAAATTTTAACCAGAAAACCATATTCATGTCTATTTTACTCACACCTGGGGACAACCTTGTAGAGATCTTTCTTTTCCCCCTTTTAAACAACCAGCTCTGACTGACCCAGAGAGCCCCTGCTTTGCCTGAAGGCTCCCAGGGTATAAGGGGAAGGGAGACCCAGGCAGCTATAGAATCTGGGAGATCTTCAAAGCACTGCCCTGCTGCCCATTGGCAGAGTGAATGTGTTACAGTCAGAAAGGGGGGGGGCACCTCTGAACCTCTGTGTATCCCCTCTGTACTAAGGGGCTTAGATCCCATGATCACATGACCCAGGGGGCCAGACTGGTAATCTGGACACATCTCCCTGTAGGTCAGGAGCAAAAGGTAGCAAACACCTGAAAGCAGTTCTCCAGGATAACCCTTCCTTCCCACACAGCCAGGGCACCCTGCCTACTTGCCTACACAGAGGTAGGGAAAGGGTCAAGAAGGCTCCTCACCCCCACACCCAGCCCCTACCCAGAACAGAGGAGCCGCTGGCTCCTTGTCAGTCTCCGCACCTGGGACATGACCCAGAAAGCTGACTGCTGACAGTTCCCTAGGGCACACCAGCGGCCCAGGCTCCAGGACCCTCTGGCGTAGACCTGCTAGTATGATCGTTTTGAAAGCAACCATTGGCTGTCTGACACCTAAACCCTAGGACCTGGCACCCAAACCCCGCTGGGCAACACTCTGGGCAGCCTGCACTCGCTCCTCACTCCTGTCCAGGGCAGCCTGGCAGAATCAGGTGTCAGTACCGAGCAGGGCACTCAGGAGGTCAGCCCCTTCACCTACCTTGTTTACTGCCTTCAGCTGATATTAGAAAGCACCCAAATGAGATCTCAGAGTCCCTGGCCTGGTTCGGCTGGCGGGAACGTAGCTGATGCCGCGGAGCTATGAACTGTTAAAGTTTAACTGGCCCCAGCCTTCTCCTCCTCCCAGGCTGGACGCAGGGAAGGAGCACCCGGTGACGCTGCGCTGCGCTCCACGCCCAGCCGGCTCTGGGCTGCTGGCTACCCTGTAATTACCTGACAGCTCTGACTGAGTTTAGGAACCGCGAGAAGCCTCAGTCTCATCTCTGGGATCTGGAGGAAGGAAGGGAAATGAAGAGGCATTCTAAAAATGCGGACTCACCAGTTCTCAACCTCCCCTGGCCGGTGTGTGGGAAAGGGCGGGCGGCTGGGCTGGCTGGGGCGGGGCGAGCCATCCCGGGCTTGGGCTCCTGGACCCGGCCCACTCTCCACAGGCCCCGCAGTGAAGGCGTGGCTCCCAAGTTCCACGTCCTGCGAGAGGGGACCATGGCCCGGGGCTCAGCAGCCTCTTCTGGGTGCCGGGCAGGCTGCGGAGAGAGCAGGGGAAGGGAGTTTTAAGAGGAGTGGGTAGTCCACATGCTGTATCATCTGGAAGGGTCTGCAAACAAGGCTCACCTGCCACCCAGGACAGCCGCCCCAAATGTAGCAACCCCTAAGGACTGCGGGCCCACAGGAGGGTGCTTGGCACTGACCATGGCCAGAAGCCAGTCAGTGAGTCTGCCACCCACTGTGAAGATCTGCCAGAGGACACACCAGGCAGCAGCCACACATGGAGGAAGCTCCAGGACTATGCCTGCAACCAGTGGTGAGTTTAATCCTTTTCCTCCATGAGGTCTCATTTTCTAATTAGACTCAGCTGCTTGCTTAAGTCGCAGCCTTCGGGCTGTGTCCCAAGCCAGTGGCCCAGCAGCTAATGCTCTGAGAATTAGCATCTCACTGAGGAGGGGCTCAGAAGGGGCTGGCTTAGGGCCAGGGGCAAGCTGGGTTTACACTCAGCAAATTCTCAGGGCCAGTTCATTCACATATTCAAGTAACTCAGTGTGGAGGGTGTGTCAGGCACCCTGCCAGGCATTCATTCAGTTCCTAGTTCATAATCATTTATTGAGTGCCTACTACGTGCTGGGCACCTAACAGAGAAGTCAGGGCTTCAAACTTCCAGTCACAGCATTAGGCAAAGGTTTATTGAAGTGATGGCACAAACCTTTAATCCCAGCACACCAAAGGCAGAGATGTCTTATGAGTTCAAGGTCAACCTGGTCTACACAGCAAGTACCAGGACAGCCAGGGCTACACAGTGAAGGTCTGTCTCAAAAATAACAAATATTAGAGGTATGGACAGGTTACAGAGAGGTCAGAGGGATTTTTCCAGGCACCACGTGGTGCAGAAGTATAGTGTCCTGGGAGCACTGGTATGGAAAGTGTAAGTGTCCTGGGAGCACTGGTATGGAAAGTGTAAGTGTCCTGGGAGCAATGGTATGGGAAGTGTTAAGTGTCCTGGGAGCACTGGTATGGGAAGTGTAAGTGTCCTGGGAG